CACACAAGGTCATGCAGGGTCATCATCTACACTAGGTCGTGTGGGGTCATCATCCACATGAGGTTGTGCAGACTCATTATCCACACAAGATCCTATGGGATCATCATCCACACAAGGTCATGTAGACTCACCATCCACACGAGGTCATGTAGACTCAACATCCACACGGGTCATGCAGGGTCACCATCCACACGAGGTCGTGGAGGGTCACTATCCACATGAGGTCATGTGGGTTCATCATCCACACGAGGTCGTGCTGACTCATCCCATGAATTGTGCCGAGCCATCATCTCACGGGAGATTGTGCAAGGTTGTTCACATGGATTGTGTGGAGTCATCATCCACACACACTATCTCATAGCATACTTCAAAAATCCAACCAAGGAAGGGCCACACTGTCTCCACCTGACAGAGAAGGAAACTGAGGCTCATGGACATTAAGTGACCGGGTGTTCATGGCCACACTATGGAGTGGGGATTGTAGCCCCGGCCCACACTGTGGAGTGGGGATTGTGGCCCCTGAGCCTGGCTGGGGGGCTAGAACCCCTCGGGCCCCATGGCATCAGTGGGAGGAGTAACTGGGTGCTTGGGGCCTGGGCTTGGGGTAGTTTCCCGGTGCTGTTCAGGGGCAGGACCCCTGACCCTTGGGGCCACACGCCGACTGGCTGGTCCGGCCTTTGTTTCGTGGATGGACTATGCCCTCCTCCTGCCCGCTGTCCCCAGCCCAAGCTTCCAGTCCCCTGCTGGAGATGACCCAGACACCAGTGTCTCATGGGTCATGTGCCCCGCCCCCAGTCACTGGCAGGTTCTAGAGAGAGACGGGAGCCTGTTGCCTCTGGGAGGTGTCAGGAAGTGGCGAGATGGGTGGGGGCGGGGATGGGGGGCTTTAACGGGGACCAGAGATGCATGTCCTGCTTTCCGTGCATGTGGGTCCCAGGAGGTCCCACTGTGGGGCATGAAATAGCAGCTTGGAATTTTGAAGTGAGCTTAGGAGCAGGAAATTGTGCAGAGGTTCAAAAGTCGCTACTTTCTGAGCACCTAGACACAGAGTTTTGTGAAGTCTCCTTAGAGCGTATTTAATAACGTAAGTTCCAGGAACCATCGCGCTCTGCCAGGGTCTGAGCCCACTGTTTCCACGGCCCACGCAGAAGCCTGGCGTGGACAAGCAGAGCCCGGGCAGCCCGGCCCTGCCGGGTGCTCCCTCCAGCTCCTGTCCATGCTGCACACCCGCCTGGGTGTCTCAGCTTTTGGCTAAAGGGTGAAGCTAGAGAGAAAACCCTAAGCGTGGCCAGGTGGCCTGCATGGGCATGTCATTCAGATAGGGTGGCAAAGATTTCCGAAAGTGAAATGTGATTTTGCACGTCCCGCAAGCCACAGCCGAGCATGCTTTGGGCCACGGTAAAGGGCCGTGTTGGGCTCGGAAAAGCAGCTCTGCAAACAAGTGCGGAGGGTGCACACATCCTCGCCCCTCGCAGGAAAGATGGGTGGCTGGGAGGGGTGCAGGCTCACGGCGACGCCGTCTCCAGTGCACCCAGACAGCAGCCACCTGGGGGCACGCGCAACACACTCGGATCTGCACTAAAACCGGGCTGCAAGCCCCGGAGCCCTTCCCTCACTGAGCACCCGGCCGAGGCAGAGTTCCTTCGCAGCGGTGCCTCATCTGCCAGGGAGCTGGGGTGTGTGCTGGGGTGCGCGGGAGGGCGGTATCCGGGCACACAGGGGGTCAGTCTCCTGGTGGGCACTCTCCACAAAAGGACCTTCCCTAGAGTGTGTGTGTGCATGCGCACATCCACGCACTTGCCCTACAAGGACGGGAAACTGCTGTGAGCGGTCAGGGCCCCTCTGCATCCCACCAGGGCCTGCGGGCACCCTCTGCCAGTCGCTACTCTCGCGTCCAGGCTGCCGTGGGCTGCCCAGGCCTTCCTTGGCCCCTGCGGGCAGCCACCTCCCTTTGCCGGCTCTGAGCCAGCTGGCTGCTGGCATTCCGGGCCCAGGACCGCCTCTCTGACGGCCTCCATCTCCCAGAGGTCTCTCTGTAGCCCCAGCATCTCTTCCAGACCCCTCCATCCTGTGAGCGGAGGGGTGGGCGTGGAGGGTCCCAGGCTCCCCATGACCAGGCGTGGTGCTGGCCCAGGGGTCCTTCTGGGAGCTGCCCCAGGTGGAGGGCCTGGTCAAGTCCAGTTTCTAAGCTAGTTTGGCAGCAGGCACAAACCAGGCCCTGGGGAGCTGGGCCAGGGGTGCAGCAAGGGGTCACGTGTTTGGCCAGCGAGGCTCAAGCTGAGGTAGGGCCCGGCTCCCCCGAGGCCAGGTGGGTGACCTGAGTGTATTTATAGACCGGCTCCGTGGCTCGGCACCTCTGGATCAGCCTCCTCCCAAAGAGAGCAGATTTGATCCGATTGAGGCCCTGCTCTTCCCCCTCAGCCTTGAAAACAAACGTCCCACCATACGGACAACAGGAAGGCAGGGCCCTTAACATAAATAGATACTGTGCCGAAAGAACTCAGTCATGTGGGGCCAGAGCGCCGGTGAGAATAGCGGGACACCAGGCAGTCAGGATTTGTGGTGAACAAGAAACAGGCTGGATCCATTGTTTCCACCAGGCTGCATTTAGGAAGCAAATTGTCCTGCCGAGAGACGTGTGTGTGTGTGTGTGTGTGTGTGTGTGTGTTCCTCCCTTTCTGGTTAAAAAACAAGAAAGAAAGAAAAGCTTGTGATTCACTGACAACACTCAACTCACAGGCCATGGGGGAAATGGCCAGGTGGGGTCCCCAGGGCTCCTGGGTCCTGGCGTTGGGCTCTGGCTTGCACTGCCCCCTCCTGTCAAGGGCAGAGGCCGGGGCCCATCAGCCTGAGCCTGGCTCTGCTTCTTCATCCCAATCTGGGGAGGCTTCACTTCCCTTAAACATGGAGCCAGCCCCTCTCCACACGGCCCTGCCTGCCTTCCCTCCCACCCCCAGCTTCAAGCCAGGCCCAGACGGTGACCACCGCACGCCACCGGGAGCCCTGCTCCCCAGCCCAGACTCCCTAAGAATCCCCTGAGTGGGCCGGTCACCCCGAGGCCCCTCTCCCAGGACAGAAAGCA